TTAGATGGTGGCAGGTTCTCAGAAAGGACACAGTTTATTAGATGGTGGCAGGTTCTCAGAAAGGACACATGCTTATCGTCAGCGTTCCTGCCTCGGTACCACCGGTACCTTCGTGAGGGCATGATCAGTGCTTCATCCACCCCTCTCTCTCCCAGTCAGTTTACCTCACTGCTTTACAGCTCACCGCTGTGCCCGTCTCTTGCACCAGCGCATCCAAAACAGTACTGGAATTCAGTCATGGCCTCTCCATCCCGCCATGACAGCCTTTATCTGGAGGATCCTCACCTCCCACCTGGACAAGCCTCCTGATGCTCTCCCTGTATCTGGCTTCGCCCCTTCCCTGCCGCCACAATGATCTCTCTAAAATACAAGGCTAATCATGGCTCTTCAGCTGCTTCAAATCCTTTTCTGGCTCCCACCACCAACGGGTAAAGACAAAGATCTTGGGCACATTGGGCAAGGCTCTCCAACACCTGGCTGGCTCCCCACCCACCAGTGCCACCTCCCAGGCCCTTGACCCTCCAGCCAGACCTCCTGTGATGATTCTTGAACAGACCAGACCTTCCCCATGCTGCCATTTCCTGAAATGCCCTTACCTCCGTTTTATCTGCCTGGGAACACCCAGTTCCGGTGCCATTTCCTCCCAAAACCCTCTCTGACGTGCCAAATGGAAATGGCCACTTCCTCCTCTGAACAACGGTACACCTTGAATGTGCTTTGACCATTGCTCTGATCACAAGGCAGTGTCCCCACAGTGCTTACACATGGCAGCCTTCAATGCATGTCTGCTGAATGAATGATGAGTGAAAAAAGCACAAATCACCACTACACCCTATTGCTTTCCTGACTCTGTCCAGTGATTGGTTGCCCTAGCCTGCCTTCAGATAGCCCTGTCCTTAGTCCTCGTATCTTGCCCAGCGCACTCTTCTCCACTCACTGACTCTGCCTGGCTCCCCAGCCCACCCAGCTCCCCTGGCTCTGGTCTCAGGCAAGCCTTCCAGCCCCGCAACCCACCTAGGCTTCTTCAGACCCATGACAAAGGCCTCCAGAATCTTGAGGACATCATTGGGGTGGATGTCCCAGGGGGAGGGTGGGGTCTCCTCCTCTTCCTCCTTCTCCCCTTCCACCAGACTTTCTTCCTTTGCTCCCTCCATCTCCGTCTGCTCTGCCAGCTCCAATTCTGACCCCATGCTTGTCTCCTCCATGTTCGCCTTCTCCATGCTCGCCTGACTGCAGGACTTGATCTGGAGAAAGATGCAAGGACAACTGTGGGCTGGGGACACATGAGCATGAGCATGGAGAGAGAGGCAGGGAGAAGAAAAACCAGAAAAGTTTACGGAAAGTGACAGAAAGCTTTCCCAAGGAGACATTTACACAGCGATAGAAACAGGAGAAAGCGTG